TTTTTTTTTTTTTTTTTTTTTTTTTTTTTTTGCCTGCACGCTGCCTGAGTGAAAGAGGGGTACAGTACAGTACGGTACAGTACTTTGGTTTAGTGGTCCAGTCCATCATCACATGACTTGCAGACGCGACAGACAGACAGACAGACAGACAGACGGATACACATTGACGCGCGGATGCTTGATGAGATTGTTGCTCATGTTTTGTGACTGTTGACGACGACAGTGAAGAGATGCGGTGGGAAACAAAGGCGTGGACACGTGCACGGCGACTGGAATGAGGACGAGGAAGCAAGCATTGTCTGTTTTCATCTTGTCGTCGCTTATCCGGGTGTCGACGGCATGAGCCAGCCAACGAGCGTCAGTCGAGTCGAGTCGAGTCGAGTACAGTACAGCACTGTACAGTACTATACACTGTACTGTTATGTGCCATGATCATGCGGTGTCTTTCACCACATAGCCATGTTTTCGCGGCTAATTTACGAATCAACTAATTAATTGATAATTGGGGCGTCGGCAGAGGAAGTCTCACCGGCACACGGAAGCAAGCAAACAAGCAAGCGAACAAGCACTGCTGCTTCCCTCGGACGTGACGTGACGTGACGTGGCTGGCCTGCACTGTACTTTACTGTACTGTACGACGGACGATGACCGAGTGGCATCTTGCCCTTCCAGTCCATCCATCATCCCCAGCTCGTTCGTGCATATGCAGCATCCTCATGGATCGATCGATCGATCGATTGATTCATTCATTCATTCAGTCATTCATTGTTGATTCTTCCTTGGCCCCCCCGACCGGGGATTGCGTCTCGCCGATAGAGCACGCCTGACTCGCCAAAGAAGGATGGACGGGGATCTCGTGCTGGGAAGACAGGTTCGTCGAGAGAAATACAGTACTGTGCCGGAAGAAGAAGAGGAAGAGGAAGAGGATTTCGGGGAAGGCGACAGACAGTCAATGTCCCGGATCACCAAGTGTTGATGCGTCGATCGAGACAGTGTCGGGGATTCAGTATGTGTCGTCGGTTCAGTTCACAGTACAGTACTGTACTGCAGCCAGTGCAGTGCAGTACTGTACTATAGTGTTGTCGACGAGAGACCGACCACCCACCCGTGGTGATTCGGCTACCGCCCAAGTGCGAGACCAACCGGGAGAAACGAGGACGGAATGCGGGGTAGAAGAGAGAACGTGATCGGGCATTTCCTTCCCTTCCCTTCCCTTCCCTTTGCCTTGCCGTCACTGATGCACAGCAGCCCAGCACTAAGGCTCTCGTCGTCGTTCTCGTCGTCGTCGTCGTCGTCGTTGTTTCCTCGACTTGCTCGATCCTGCATGCATGCAAAATGAAAAGACATGCGAGGCTGGTCGGTCGGGGTCATCATCCGCGGGCGAGAGAAAGAAAGAAAGAAAGAAAGAAATGGGAATAGGAATAGGAATAGGAATAGGGGCACCATCACCAGCAGCAGTGGAGCAAACAAACCTCTTGCTCGCTCGCTCGCTCGCGGGATCAACAGCAGATGGCCTTTTCATTCGGCCAAGCCGGGAAAGTTGCCGAAACGCGGCTTGGTTTTCATCTCGACCCTCCCTGTGTTTCTCGTTGCCGAGCCGATGATAACACACGGTAGAGTAGAGTACAGTATATCCTGGCGGGATAATGCACGTATCCTTTGCCTTGTTGTTTGCCCAGACAGAGACCAGATACAGTACAGTACTGTACTGTACTGTATTTATGCATGTGTGTATGTTTCTTGCCACCGCGGCCGTGAGAAAGGAGGCCAGGCCAGGCTAGGCTTGAGTTCTATCGACGGTGGTCGTGGTTGTTGTTGTCGTCGTCGTCGTCGTCGTCATCTTCAACTTGAGGACGGCGGAAACCGACCGGTACATGCTTGTTCACGTACAACTCTCGTCCCTCCCCCCGAATGAACGATGATTCGAATCTGGGGCTCAGTGCTGTATTGTACTGTACTCTACTCTACTCTACTCTACAGCACTCTGCCATGTCCAGTCAGTCCAAGTGTGAACGTGTCGGTTGAGTTGTCAAAACGAAGGGAAAAGGCATGCGTGCTGTGTACTACGGTACCTGCTGTCTACTGTATTGGTTGCAGGCCACGACTCCTGCATATTTGTCCTTCTCTCTTTCTTTCTTTCTTTCTTTGTTTGTTTGTTTACGAGTGTCGGAGTAGAAGTTGGCGAGTTTGTTGTGTCGGGCGGCGGCTGGGTGTGCGGGCAGGCTATGATTACGAGGAATGTGGGGACTGTCCTGACCGATCCGATCGGGTCCCAGACAGCAGAGATGCCGGCGGGTGGGCGGACGGAGGGACAGACAGACAGACAGACAGACTCATCCATCAATTAAGGCGTGTGAGTGTGTGTGTGTTGGACGTGCACACTGGACCAGACTAGATAGTAAGAGTAGAGTACAGCATCTCCATGTGACTGATGATGAGGAGGAGGAGGAGGAGGAGGAGGAGGAGCGGTTTCCTCATAATTCCTGCATTTCCGTCTACGATACAGTAGAGTAAATCAAGTACTGCACCCTACTCTATTCTCTCTACAAGGGTCTCGACAGACATTTGTCGATCGGTCTGCCTGCTGGGAGCTCAGGGACTTATTCTTACCTCTCACTCGTTTCGTCACGAGGAAGCACGGGTAATGGTCAAGTTTAGCCGGTCCAGTAGTACTGTGGACGTAAGAACATACGACTGCCTTGGCACTGCACTGCGCTGTACTGTATTGCTGAGTAATGCTACCTAGTCTTCTCGTGGACTGCCGAGTGGTTCCTCGGGTGGGATCAATCACACTCGTAGTAGTACAGTGTACAATCCAGTGCTGACTATATACTGTGAGCCACCCGGTGTGGTCTTAAAGATACGAACGATTTTCTTTTCCTTGAATGAATGGAGTCGAAGGAATTTCCAGAGGATTCTTCCTTCCTGCAAGCGCGGCTTGACTGGGTTGACTAGCTTTCTTTTTCAACCGTGAGGAGACGAAGAGGTGGTGGTGGTGATGATGTCGTCGTCGTCGTCGTCGTCATGACGCAGCTGGCCACGTCGCCGCGGTGGGGGTGGGTCTATGTATGCATTGTATGTTATGTTATGTCTGAATGCATGTACATGTAATGCTGTACTATGCATGGGGGATGAGAGAAGGGGAGGGGAACTCGAGAGACGAAACGAACGAACGAACGAGCGAGCGAGTAAGCAACCAAACACCCACCACCCACCCGTCCGTCAGTTGCCGAAAATAGCCGGCGGGTGTCGGGATTCTGCTGCTGCTGTTGCTTGCTGTCTTCCTGGTCTTGGGAACCCTCAATTTCCGCTCCCTCGTCTCCCGTGTGTGTTTTCCCGCCTGCCTCCGCCTCGTGCGTGTGAGCTATAGGTAGGACTTGGGAGACACCGGGCGGCAACGGACGAGCGAGGTATATAGGACTTGGAGACACCAGAGCATATATACAGTATAGGCATCACAACACTTGCTGTACTGTGTCTGTATACAGTACAGTGCAGTACTTGACTGACTGCTCTCTCTTTTTTTTCTTTTTTTTTTTTTCTTGCACTGGTTCTTTGTCGAGTGCCGTACAGCACGGCCTTTCCCCCCCCCCCCCTGCCTCTCTTTCATTTCCTTCCGGGGAAATTGCCCGTCTGCCGCCTCGTCCTGGTCTCGTCGCCTCGCGTCTCTGGTGGTTGTCGTTGTCGTGACCATGACGCACGCCAAGACGAAGACGAAACGGAATTCTCTGATGTGATGACTGAGCATATTGTACAGTACAGTACAGTCGTGGTGGAAATAGCCAATGAAAAACGCGGCGATCGAAGAAGAAACTGGGTGGAACGGAGGCGAAGAAGCGAGTGGAATAGTGTGGAGTGGAGTGGAGTACTGTACCGGAAATTGTCGGACACCGGATGCACCCGGTTTCGCCATATCCCGCCGGAAACTCGGCAGTACAGTACTGTACTGTACAGTATCCCGCTTCCCGAGGAGGAACGCGTTCCGTTCCGCGGTCGAGTTATTGTCGCGCGGCGGAACCGCGGTTTCCGCCGACGCTGATTTCATTTTCATTCATTCATGCATTCTTCCCCCGCGCCGACAGTACAGTACAGTACAGTGCAATGCTATGCAATGCAACACCCTCACCTGTTGGTTTGTTCCTTACACGTGCTGAATGATTGATTGATTGATTGATTAATTAATTAATTAATTAATTAATTGCGCGTACGAATGGCGAAGGCCGTGTCATGCATGCCCAATCCCCATCATCCTCTCCCCGCGGGTCCGTCTGGTCGTAGAACAAAGCGCCATGTCTTTCATCATTCTCCCACCACATGCATGCGTATGTACTGTACATACTGTACTATGTGTGTGTGTGTGTGTGTGTGTGTGTGTTGGTACATCCGGGGAACATGACACAGGGGGGGGGGGGGATGACATCTTATTCCAGTCTGGTCTGGTCTGGTCTGGTCTGTGCTTCCGACGCATTACTGGACACTCAGCCAGTTGCAGTCTCTCTCTCTAGACGCTAAGAGACTAGAGCCTCTTTTCGCCCGTTCATCTAATTGACGTCATTCGTCAGGCATCAGGAAATGCCGGGTGCTGGGATGAAAGTAAAGAGGCCTTTTCGATTCAGTACCGCACAGTACTGTACTCTGTTCCATTGGCTCATATCGAGGAAAGGGGAAAACAACCAACCGTTGATTCGTATTGCAGTATTGGTGCCGAGGAGTCGAAACGAAAAGACGTCTCGTTCCGACTTTCGTTAGAGGACTGTACTGCATACATGTACCTGTTCCTTTCTTCCTTCCTTTTTCCCCATTTATTGCGAGTGTTTGTTTCTTGCCCTGTCCTGTGCTTGTAATGTACTGCATCTGACCCTGTGTTTGTTTGTTGGTTGGTTTGTTTGGAATTGCAGACGCGTGTTCCAGTCGGTCCACACCGACGCCGAGGCCGGCAACGCCGTCAGCAACGCCGATCCGCCCCAACGTCACATTCCAGACTTACGCTTGTCCGCCGGCCTACGCCGCCTGGTATTGCCTCAACGGCGCCACGTGTTTCACCGTCAAGATCGGCGAGTCCCTGCTCTACAACTGCGAGTGAGTACGATACTGCATCTCCATCGGAGCTACTGTAGTCTGAGTCTCCTCTCTCTCTCTACATTTCCACAATACTGCACGCGGTGTGTGTGTGTGTGTGTCATGTCTTTCGCTTCTTCACTCTCCAGGTGCGCCGACGGGTACATGGGCCAGCGTTGCGAGTACAAGGACCTGGACGGGACTTATCTGCGTGAGTGTTTCTTCTTCTTCTTCTTCTTGTTGTTTTTTCTTGATGATGATGATGATGATGATGCCTGGCGTGACCGACCAATGAGAGGTATTGTGATTCGTCATAATACAGTACTGTACAGTGAATATATTATGGTTCAGTGCTTCATCCGGCGTTGGTGCTTGAATACTACAGTAATACGGTATAGTACAGTACTGTACTGTGTAATTCTGTACTGTATTACCCATACATTCCTGGCTTTCTTTTCTCATCGCCTTCTTCCTCCTCTACAGCGACGAGGGAGAAAGTGACGCTGGAGACGGCAAGCATCGCTGGCGGGGCGACGGTCGCCGTCATCTTCGTCGTCATCGTCTGCTTCCTCTGCTGGATCTACTTGAATCGGAAGGGGAGTGAGAAGAAGCAAGTCGGTGCCTCGTCGTCGTCGTCGTCGTCGTCGTGTCACAGACGGTGCGTGTGCTGTGCAGTATACGATGCAACGCACTCTAAGAGCTTTGCTTTGCGGAAGACGAATAAAAATGAAACAAGAACTCGTGCACTGTAATGTACTGTAATGTAATGTAATGTAATTTAATTTGATTTAATCTAGTGTAGTGTAAGACAGGCACAGGTCCAAGAGATAAGATGAGGAATTGATTCCCTTGCAGGATCGGCATCGGCATGGGCATGCGAGGCGGCGTGGACGAGGTTGACGCGCTCGAGTCGGGCGAGGACGCGTCGTTCCAACCGTTCGCCAGATACGGACTGCCGCGACACAAGTCCACCTTTCACCTCATCCCTGGCACCTTCAAGTATTCCATGCACCCGAGCCACCAGGTTCGTGCGTCTCTTATCGCTTGTTCCCCCCGTGTTTACTGTTCTACTACGCACACCAACACCTGTAACCTGTAAACAGTCTGCTGTTCTGTTGTCAATGTCGTGTCCATTTCCCCAGGAGATGCAGAACGGACAAGAGGACGCTGGGCCCGGGCTGCACCGACTCCGACCGCAACCCCAACCCCAACCCCAACCTCAAGCCGACAAGAAACGAGTGCGGGGCGAGTCATCCACGTTGCCGTCTTGAACTTGGCCATGCGTCGGCCACGAGCCGCCGTTCCTGGAACCATTTCTGCTGTGTGTCTGTCATTCGTTCGTCGTTGGTCCTTTCACTCACTCACTCACTCACTCACTGACTCACTCGCGAGGAGGAGAAGAAGAAGAAGAAGAAGGAGGAGAGGAGGAGGAATAAGATGAGGAACGCGATACGTGACGGCGGAGGACCGAGTGGATGGGACGGCTTCGTGCGTGATGTGGCCTGCATGTCCGCCCGCGTCCATCAATCCATCCAACAACAACCGTCTATCGTATCCACCTTGCCTGCTCATCCAAAAAAGACACACTCACACAGACACCACACCCACCAGCGGCAGCTGGATCCTGGATGATGCTGACGACGACGACGACGACGACGACGAACGAGTTGAGGGTGCAGTACAGGACAGTACCGGGTTCCTTTTGTTCAACTGTATACGCTTTCCCGTGTGTCGTCCTTGTGCCCGTCGACGGACTCTTTTCTGCGTGGAATGAGCTATGAGTAAACACGTTGTGCGAGTCAGCGTGGGAGAGGGCGGAAGGGACAGAGTGCGTGGCGTGAGAGAACTTACTTGGTTTCCTGCGTGATAACGTTACGATTTCTCTTTTCTCGTCATTCCCGTTTGTTTTTGTTTTTTTTTTCAAAAATCGCGAGAGAGTGTCTGTCTATATACAGTGCTGTAGTTGCCATGCTGCGAAGGAAAGTGGTCGTCTCTGTTTCTTTCTGCGCACCGCCGATTCGGATGATTTGTGAATATTTCCCGAGTGCCTCTCCGACCCGAGCCCCCGTCAGTTCCGCGACTTGAGAAGCGGAGGCCAACTTCGAAAGGGAAGGGGGATGCCCTTTTTTTTTTTTTTTTTCAGTCGGCTCCTCCTCGGGCATTTTCCGCGCCGAACTCTCGTGAGAAATGCAGTGCAGTACAGAACAGTACATTACATTGATTACGCTAGACTAGGAACTGTTACCGGAAAGAGATGATGCAGCGTGTTCCAAGAGAGCTGGTTCAAGCCGGGGTGTCGTGTAGAAGAAAAAGCCCTGTCGGTGATGGACCAGCAGAAGCGGCGGCGGATTTCTCATCCGTGCATGTGTGAGTGTGTGCTGAAGGTGACACTTGTCGAGGATTCCCCGCACTGCGGCGAATGATTCCGGTGGCATTATTCAACCACACCCCATCTCGTCTGTCCCTTTCTTCTCGCCGACAAAGGAAGGAAGGCATGGGCGGGAAGACGATAAAAAGTGCGGATAATGCGGAATGAAGTAATTTTTTTTTTTTTGGTTCTTTTTTTTTTCTTTCTTTCAAGTTCAATTGAATCATCACGCGAATGATGTTTGTTTTTTTTTTTTGCGAAATTGGACCGATCGGGATGTGTACATTTCTTGGACTTGCGAACGATGGCGATTTCGTGCATTTCAACGTGTGCGTTGGCAGGTCTCCCAATTTCTTTTTTTTTTCTCTTCTTTCCGAGTGTGGGAGAAAGAGAGGAGGATTCACGAGTGTGGTACTGGCGAGCAGGTTGTTTTGTCGCCTTTCGCGGCCTTTGAGTCTGTGCCGTGCATCGTTCGCTCAGACGACCTTTTTTTGTTGGGTTATTCAGGAATTACAATTTTGGGGAAATATGAACGGCTTTTTTTTTCTTGACAACCGTGTTTCTTTGCATTGTCGGATGCACCCCGATTTTTCAGTGATAGCGGTCTCTTGACGGTGCGTACTAGTACGTTGGACTGACTGGCGATGAAGGCATAGCACTGCGAAAGGAGCCCCCTGGAGCACGGTTCCATCGTTGAATTGGGGTCGCTTCTTTTTTGCGAGAAGCGCGACACCTGCCCCGACGTTGGAAAATCACACTCTTGCAACATGCATCCGTGTACCGTAGGTCGCGCAGCGTTTTATTTTCTTCAGCGTCATATAGAACGCATACAGTTCTGTAAACTTGTAAAGGCTCTTCCTCCCGCACAGAGCCCGTTTCTCCTGAATTAACCACCCCATTCATTCCATCAACCTTTCTTTCAAAAATCAAGTACTGTACTGTACTCTAAAAATCAATAAAGGTTCGTGGTCGCCGGACGTCCATTTCAGACACCAGCAACAGAAGGTACTGTATATCGTCAGTCGTCACAAGTAAATTTTTCCTGTGAATTAGGACTACTGTACTACAGTTCTGGATATTCCCTGTTGCCGTGACGTCATCTGAATATTTAGTATATGCTGTGCCGTACTGCTTGAGCTACATCATTATTGCCTTGATAAGTTTACCTCAGTGCATTTACTGAACTGCACTGAGTTGTACTGGTGGAATAATGAGGGTGAATTGCGTGTGTTAGTCTTATATATTTTGTGTTAATTGGTATGAGGATTTTGTATTGATGGAGACTTTTGCTGCTGGGGACACGCGTTATTTCATTTCACCGGATCTCCGAGCTACACCGTCTTATGAATCTGAATGCGTGAACCGCTTCTTGAAAAATCAAAGCGAAGTACAGTACTGTACTGTAATATTTGAAGGAAAGAATGAACCAGGCAACAGCGACTGCAAAATCCTCAGTGACGCGTGACGTTTGCATTACCATACAGGAAGAACCGGAAACGTTTGAGAAATGCAATTTTATACTTTTGAATGAGTGTCGCGTTTGAGCAGACACCCTCTTCGCCAAGTAACTTAACAACATTTTTTCAGATTAATCTTCATGACCTAGATGTCGCCAAGTAAAAAATGAAGGTTGTTTTTCCTGACAGCTTTTAGAAGAGGCTCGGAATATTTTGCTTGGAAGGTACAATCGGCAAGCTAGGTGTCGCACGCGTAAAAAAATTTCGGAGCCACAGAAATAAAAACGCAGCCCTCCATAATTTTGTACCACAGAAATGTACTGTACATGTGTTGTGGACAAAAAAGCAAAAGCCTTTTGCTGCTGTATTTCATTGAAGGGGTTATGAAGATTTTATCCAGAGAGATTTCCTTTGGAAAAATGATCAAAGTCCAGCTGGGCTTTTGGCAGGCATCGTGCTGGTATACATCAGCATGCAACAGCTGATGTGTTGGTTTCGCACGGCGTCGTTTAGCCAGCAGCAGTGACGCCGTGCTGTTATTGTAAATTGCAATACAGTACATCTGTCATCCGTTCTGAGAGGCTTTTCTTTTCCATCAAATGCAGTACAGTAATTGGGAAATGCCTCGTTACTTTTCTCCAAGGACTTTGCTCCGACGTTTAATTTTAGACTACAGCTGCACTATGTTTTGAGAGGCACTGCTGTGCAGGTGTGGTACAGTGTGCAGGTGCGGGTACATACGCAAAAGTACAGCAGCAGTGTGCTGTGTGCAGCTGATGGAAAGGTCAAGTGAGCGATGCCGGCTGCATGCATCATCAGTATACTGTACTGTAATATACAGAAATAAGAACGCATTCCATAATTTTTTGTTACCACAGTAATGTACTGTACATGTGTTGTGGACATTTCTTGGTAATAAAGAACTGTGTGTCAAGCATTAGGATTGGATGGAATCGAGTCTTTGACAAAGGATCATCATCGGCAAGTCGGACAAGTGGAGCACTGGTCTCTTTAGAAAGGAATGCACGGTATTGTATTCATCTTCGTACTGTACATGCAGCAGAGCGTGGCACGCTAGACTAGGCCAGCATACATCATACTCATCATAGTACAGTAATAGTTTTTGAAGGTTTTCCCATGCTCCAATATTGCTAAATGAACACGGAATCTTGAGGATAACACGACATGCGTCGATGGGCAGGAGGCAGGCAGACTGCTGCAGGTATATAGCAGGTGTCGGTACTCGCTGTATAACCTATAGATCGTAGACTAAATGCAGTGTAATATGTAAAGGAAGAATGATAAAAAGCAGTGTCTTCCCGCTGCTTTTCCGAGCAAGATGAAGAAACTGAAGAAATGCAGCAGCGGAGTTACGTATCCGGTCCTGCTGTACAGTGTACACAGTATATATACGGTACGCAGTAGAGTAGAGTAGAGTAGAGTACAGTACAGTACATGACTATATAGTATAGCTGTCCCGACTGAGCACGGGGAAAGAGACGCGGAGTAAGTACAGTACAGTACAGTACAGTACAGTACAGTGCATGGGAGAGGACACGAGAGTCGATTCGATCCACACGTGACGGAGAATTCGGGAAGGACGTGACCCGGATCCGCGGGCATGCACTGCATGATGCGGATGCTGCATGCGAGCCATGAGTCGAGGTTTGTTCACGCGAACCCGATGCATGCGTCTGTCCTCCCTCACCCACCACCACCGACTGACCCCATTCACTGCCCTGACTCGACTCGACTCGACTCATCGACCCAAGCAGCAGCACGGAGTCGAGGTCGAGCAATGCATGACACTACTGTATACGGAAAGGAAGAAATCAAAGGCGGAGGGAAAAAATGAAATGAAATGAAGGGGAAGAGGACGAGCAATATTGAAACGTGTACAGTATAGTGCCGTACAGGTACAGGTACAGGTACAGTTACAGTTCCGGATGATGGCATCGTATCGTTGGGGTCTGCTGCTGTCGCGACACTCGCTCATGCTGACGAGGGCACGACAGCAGGGCATACGACGGTGATGATGGACATCATCACCTGAGCGAGTTATTGGACACCGGCCTATATACCGTATGCAGCAGTATGCGTGTTGTGCAGTGTACTGATTCTGTAGCGTGATTGTCGTGCAAACTATGCACGACATGCTTGCTTGCTTGTTTACAGTACTACTGTAGCTGTACTCCCTTTTTCGTTGGGCTCTGCTCATCCAGCGGGATATAACGTCAGCATCTAACGTCGGATGAGCTGCGTATACCGCGTACACGACTTGCTGTGCACTTTTTCCTATTCATCATCAGCATGGCGATTCCTTGGTTGGTTGGTTCTTTCGTTCATTCGCTCGCTCATTCCTTCATGCATGCAGATCGCACTGTACATGAAGGGTATGTACTGCACTGCATACCTGTCCTGTACAGACTGACTCGGTTCGCAGAGGATCACGGCGATGAATCAGAGACGCAAGTGCTGCATAATACACTGGTACAGTACAGCACTTTAGTCCGGTGACACTATGACGACGTCGTGCAGCGGTCCCCTGCTTTGTGTCGTGCATGGGTACGCCATCCAGCAATCGCCCTCTTTTCACACATTTTACAGTACTGTACTGTACAGTGGATAAGTACAGCACAGGAATTCCCCCGAAAGTCCTCGAGAGGCAGGACGGATGAACAAGCAGCACTGCGCTGACGCAGTGACGGCGGAAGACGACGACATGCATATCCGACACCTTTCTTTCAGTATTTGACCCATCGCACGCAATAATACAGTGCAGTACAGTAGTTTTTCATCTATAGAACGTCGTCATCCTAGCTGACGGGCTGGATACATTCGAAAAGAAGCAATAAGTGTGTCATCATCCTCCGCAGAGAGAGAGAGAGAGAGGGGGCAACGACAACAACAACAACAACGACGACAAACTATTTACTACTGGGCAGTATTGTTTATGCGAAAGCAGTATGTACAGTACAGTACTTTACGGACTCCATCTGACCCGCAATGCATGCCGGCATGCTGTCCGCGTCCCAAATACGGTACACGCGTACCGTATTCGCTGCTTGCACCAATGCCCATCACCCGCCTGCCTCTTTTCCCGAGCGGGGGCACAGCTCATCGGTCATCATCATCATCGTCATCATCTCATCCCGCATCCGGCCGGCATGCAGCGGAAGACTACCGAGTACGGGAAGCAACATCATCATTCCAAGTGGCATCTCCCGCAGGACCATGTGGCAAATGCAGACCTCGTCGTGCCGTGCTGCGCTGCGCTGTAAGTAACCGTACCTACTACCTACAGGTCACCCACGCCACACCAGCACACGCGGCTATGCAACTATGGAACCTGCTCATGCACGGCCGCTGGCCAGCAGCAGGACGATGCTGAGTTGCCCTGACTGCTGGGCGATACGGGTGTCGTCCTCCCATCACCTGTACAGCACCAGCAGGACCACGAACGTCGACTGACTCTGAAGCTGTCGCATTTCCGAAAATGTCGACGGCACGCCGGGGTGCTGGCACGAGACCGACAACTCATCGGTCGGATCATGGCAAGGTGCCACATCGCATCGCATCGCATCGCCTCCGCCTCGCCTCGCCTCGCCTCGGAGCCGCCTGTCTTTTGCTGCACGGCGCGGGTGTAGCACGTACGAACACACCCGAGAGTCCGGACGACGACATCAACGAAGAAGAATAAAAGGGGAATAAGGTAATTCCGTCACGTGATCTGTGCAACGGAGTCAAGTACTGTGCTGCAGTGAATAAATCGCGACCTCTGCTTTCGTCAAACAACCCGGGGTGAGGTCAGCATGCAGGCACGAGGTGAGGTGCGAAGAGACGAAATCAGCCGTTGATGAAGGAAGAGAACGAAACGAGAATACAATACTGTACTGTACTGTAGACTGGGTGCCCGCCTGTAGCCAAACTGTTTCTCTTCCTGGATGATGCCTTCCCTTGCGCCGAGTCTCTGTGAGGACGCAGAACGCGATTTGGCGTCAAGTTGCATTACAGCACTCAGCACTGTAGAGAATACAGATGGACTCTCATCTGCATATTAATTGAATAACATGAATGGGGAGATAACCCTATATACATTACTGTACTGTATATATATATATATATACTGTACTGTATATATGTGTGTGTGTGTGTACTGTACATGAGACCAAAGACAAAGTCGTCATACAGAGAAAATCCTTGTTGACAAGATTGTTGTGCAGAGATCCCACTTGTACACAATTTCATTTGTTCCAGGCACTCAACAAAAAACACATGAAAACGACAGTGTTTCCTAGTTTTCAAAAGAGCGTTTTAAATTGAATACCGTTACATTTTAGCAATCCTAGCAAGTTTTCCCTCCAAACTTTCTGAATCCTGCCCCACTGCATAATACACAACAAGAGGCAGAACTATGCCCTTGTTTAGCCATACTGTATTTCTTGAATTATTTCGTTCCAAAGTTTTATTCATCCAAAACTCGGTGAAATTTATGCGTTTCTTGACCACGAAAAGATGCTTTACAGTTTGAAGTATTTTTCTACAGCGAGTCCCTCATGATGCTCCTTTAGAAAAATTCGCTATGCGGGTTTTCCTTGCTCAGGTCTTTCGTTATGCGGGGCCTCACTGATATGTAGTGCGTTGTACAGTACAGTACTCTGCAAGAGTCAAACACTCATATATGCCAAGAATGAATTGGACTCGAGATGGCGGATGGAGTTGTACATCACGCGGATAAGAAGTCGGTTTATTGGTTCGAGATAAGACCAGGTTCCCACATGATCCACGCGCATTTTCACCATGTTTCCCTTCAATCAACCAACCATCGACGACGTGTTAGCTGATGATGATAATGGTAGGCAAGGCAAAAGGTCGTCGAGAAGCGTGAATTCATGAAATTCTCGGCCTTCTTCCAGTTCTTCCTTTTACAGTACAGAGAACTGTGCAGGTGTGAATGCAGGACATTGCAGTACATGTACAGTACCGTACAGTACTGCATGTAAGCGAGTCATCTTTCGAGGTGAAGGACGAGTTATTCCTTATTGCTGCTGTCGTGGTTGGCTGGCTGGGCTTGGAAGGGACACGGGAGTCGGCTCCTGTACTGTGACACCGGCTGCACGCGGGAAAAGGCAAAGGCGAGCAAGCCAAGACAGACAGACAAAGTAAACCGGCGACGTTGAGCCGCTTCCAAGTTTTTCCCGCCCGCGCGCCGCATTCGCACTGCAGTCGCTGTCCCGCCGGCACCCGGGTCGCATTCGAGAGTGAGGGCGATCGTGAGTGTATTAATGAATGCATGCATGAATGAGGCTCGGTTGCGTTGGCATGGAACCTTTTCTGCTGGTTTTGGTGGGGATGGCAAGACAGCGCAGAGAGTTGCGGCTGCCGTGCGAGTCTAAATAGGATGGTCTAGCTACCGAGGAGACTAGCGTGGCAGTAGTGCTGTATTTTAATTCTTTCGCAGGTAGCGTGTGTGGCGGCGCGGGAAAGTGATTCTGTGATATGCAACGGAGCCAATTAGTGCGTAACTCGCGGTGACCTCTGCTCCTGTCAAACCACCCGGGGCGAGGCCAGGTGAGGTGAGGTGCGAAGCGAAGAGGAGAGAAGAGAAGCAGGAGCAGGAAGGTGGGAGTACCCCGCTCCTCTCGCGACGAGACTCTCGAGCCCCGTCCGTCACCTGTGGTTCATGTTAGTGGCTTTGCTCACCGCACCACGTTGCCATCGTCGTCCATCGCCAGCAGACTCCGACACTCGCTACCATGTCTGCCAGCAGTCCGAAGGGGACCACCAACGTGTCCGACAGGGTCATCAAAGGTCAGTCATCAGACACGAGTTCTTCCCCCCGCCCCCTCCTCAACCATCGTTCCTTCATTCGTCGTTGGTATTGTGTATTGCACAGTGCAATGCAGTACGTACGGTATTCAGCATCAATGACAACACCCCCGTTCTCTTTCTCGTTCTTGATTGCTGCCGTCCTGTTCTTGTTCTTCTTCCTCGTCTTGCACATTGTCTGTCTTCTGCTTTGTCACGCATGAGCTCGCCATCACCGCCTGAAACCCCCCCCTCCCTCCCCCTATTACTGTATAACTGAAGCAAGCCACCACCTCAATTTTATGTGAGAATATGACGTGTGTTTCCGCGGTGGAAACAATTTTATCGTCGACGCATTCTTCCCGAACCACTTTTCTCTTAATCTCGTTCGGCGATGATTCTTCTCTCTCTCTCTCTCTCTCTCCCCCCCCCCCCCCCCCCCCCCCCCCCCCAAGAATTTCATGAATTCACGCTTCTCGACGACCTTTTGCCTTGCCTACCATTATCATCATCAGCTAACACGTCGTCGATGGTTGGTTGATTGAAGGGAAACATGGTGAAAATGCGCGTGGATCATGTGCATTATTTTACTGTCACGGTGGTCAGGGGACCATGGAATCGGGGGACATTGGAGGGTCGGGAAGAGATGGAAAAGCATGACTGCTGTCGTACTCGTACCTCTCCTCTGAGAGATCAGTTCAAAGGAATGAATGAATGAACCAACCAACCAACGGGCACTTGACTCGATTTGTTTGGGCTTGATCATTTTCATTGATTATTCACTCCACTCGTGATGGCAACGGTAGTACAGTACTGTACATCATTGCTCGAGGCGTCGTTCGTTGGTGGTGGTTGAGTTGGGAAGGGGGATTAATCCTTACTTATATTGTACACAGGAGAAAGGGACGATGTTCTTGTCGTGAACACACTGCGACTCCCTTCCTGTGGTAGAGTTGAGCTAGTGTGATTTGGTGACCTGAGTGAGTGAGTGAGTGTGGGTGGGAGGGGTGAAATTCAGCTCCCACTGGCACGGTACGTAATGAATGTGAACAGGATACCCACTCTTGTGGCCAACTCGTCATGCGATGATCATAAGTCAAGTGAAGCAAGCTCTGTGTGCTTGCAGGAATCGGTGTCCTCGTGAATGCAGAAAGAAAAAAAAAACCAGCGAGTGCAAAGAATGGCTGGGGAAGACCCCCTTACAGGTGTGCACCGTCCAAGGAAAACCTCTGCCGACCGAGGAAGAAAATGTTGCGCGAACCCCCGACCGTTTCATAACCCCCCCCCCCCCCCTGTCTAATGAAGTGTTGTCAGTCATTTTCCAACCACCGACTCAAATCGGCCGGTCGACGACGCGTACGTACGTGCATCCATGAGGCTTTGCGGGGGCCTCTTGCCGGACATTGACACAGTCTCGGCCTATGGGGGACGACTACACAGTACACGCGTCCTTCTTCTTCTTCTTTTTCTTCTGCTCATGTCGCGAGATGGAGCCGAAGTCGTGTGCGTATCCACTTTCTGTTAGTGCATGTACGTGGGTGTTCGCTCATGCCCTCATGTTTGCCCAGGTGCAGTACGGTACGGTAGAGTGAAATTTCCATGCATGCATGCACGCACGAGGAAGCGCACGTTTACGTGTGTTTGTTCTGCATTTCCCATTCTCTTAGCTAGCTAGACATTTTCCCCTACACGACATGTGTGTGTGTGTGTTGAATGTTTACTTGTGGGAGTGAAGAGATGTAGCCGGGGTTCAGCTCCATGAAAGAAAGGATTTTTCTTTTTTCCCGGAAAGAAACGCGTCAAAGAACGCACGGGTCGATCGACCCCCCCCCCCCCCCCCCCCCCCCCCCCCCCCCCCCCCCCCCNCCGCCCGGGTCCCCCCCCCCCCCCCCCCCCCCCCGTGTTCTGCTGGGCAACCGAAACTGTCGGACGGTCGCTGTGCAGTAAAGTACGGTACGTATATGCCTCCATCAAGAGTCCAGGAGCGGATGGGAGGAGGGGAGAGCGATAGAGAGAGGGAGAGAGAGAGAGGAAAGGAAGGAGGATTGGATGGATGCATGTTTGAATGCATGTATGTATGTATGTATGTGTGTATGTATGCGTGTATGTGGGTAGAAGAAAGGAAGAACGAAAGAAAGAAAGCAAGCAAGCGTGGCAGGCACATGCTGAATGTCGAGTGTCCCACCGGACCAGGAGCGGTTCGCCGGGTTCCGAGAGACGGACTTGAAGACGACGACGACGACGATGATTAAATATGTTGTTGTTGTTCTCACGGTGATGTTCTCTACCCCTATACCGGCGACGACTTTGTGACGGGGATCTCCTGTGTTGCACAGGTACGCTTTTCTGATGCACTGTGTGGCGGTGGGGATCTTCAAGGAGGAGGAGGAGGAGGGGCAAGAGCGTTGGGGGTTTGAAATGGGCTGCGTGCTCGAGTGCCTGTTATTGAACGTGTATGCGACGAGGGGAAAAAGCAAGGTACGCAAGGGCCTTTCGTCAGTGTCGATGACCCATTATTGTCCCTCGAACTCTTGACGGAGCACATGCAGTATTGGGCAACTCTGGTAGGTGTGTGTGTGTGTGTGTGTGAGATTTGTACTGTACAGTGCAGTGCAGTATATGTATACGGTATGCAAGCGTAATAATAACAACAGCATGTACGATACACTGTATTGTATCGTGTGTTCGTATGGAGGAATGCAGTGGAGGAATTCATGAGGGAGCTGGTTCTTGAGCCTTCTTGGTCATGGCGGGGGAGGAGAATCTAGGAATTCGTTATTTCCCCATGAGGCGGAAGGACGGGACGAGGGGGGTCGGTGCATGGTGGGCTCTTGTGTGCGTGTAGGCCGTAACAGCTCGCGCTGGCGGCTTTACTTGCTGCTGGCCTCTGTCTGTCAGTCGTGTCTGCGAGCCAGCCAGCCAGCGAGCTACCTCGCTACCACCACCACCACGCTTGCTCGCTCGCTCGCCCGCGCTGCCAGCCTGCTTTCTTACTTCTGCCCGCGTTTCTAGTCCCCAGGATCGGATCGATCCGGGCTGGAGTTGTCCGTCCCTCATCTGGGCAATGTCTGGGATAAGTGCCGCGCGCGTCGCCTCAGCCCAGCTCTGCACATCGACGCCCTCTTTCTCTCTCTCTCTCTCTCTCTTGCTGTCAACCTTCCTTCCTTCCTTTCTTTTCTCCTTTCTTTCTTTCTTTCTTTCTTTCTTTCTTTCTTTCTTTCTTTCTTCATTCGCCGACGTTTTCTTCTTGCGACCCCCGACGATGGAAGGGAATGAATGTTCGGGGTTGCCAAACCGATTATCTGGTCCAACTCCTACTCCCTTTGTGCCCGCGAAACCCGCTCCATACATTCTCATGTCCATGGAATGGTTGAACCTCTGACTGAAGAAATCAGGAAGAAGATTTCCCCGCACATTGAAAATGGGGATTTTTTTTTCAACTGGGGAGGGGAGGGGAAAAGTTTCGCCAGTTTATAAAAGTCTCACTTGGATAGCTGCTTCTTGTATTCCGCATTGTCTCTTTTCCGCGGCGGTTGATTTCCACCAGTACGAACTAAGTGTATTGTTTAGTATAGTACAGTACAGTTTTTGACTCTGACCTGTCGGCAGACTGGTCTTGTCATTTTGCGCCGCATTTTCTGAAGACTTGGATTTTTATGCTTCAGTCCAACATTTTTTTTCCCTTTCGATTGCGTGGCGAGGAAAATGATGCCCTGGAAGCCGGATGCATTCGTATTCATTATAGTTCAGCATCTCCGAGTCGGACACCTCCGCAACGCAAAATTTCAGTGAATCCCTTCGAGGACAAGACATTTAAAAATCCATTCTACTCAAGACTGGGCTTTTTAACCTCCCAGAATCGAATTTTCCATTGTCCTTGTGCTGTGGAAGTGAGGCTGGCTACATTTGACAACACCAGACCCAGAACATAGCGTATGCACATTTTCACGTTGATGCTTTTTACGAAAGATTTGCCAATTTCCTGCCTGTAGAAGATATACGCACAATGAAAATGTTGAATACAGACGCATCGTTCAATTGCCTGACCTACGCAAATCATCCCTCATTTTCCTTTCCTTCAAAAGGGCCTGGTTTTTGTTTCGTTCTATGTGGAGTCCCTTCAAATTCGACTTGGAGTGGTTCGACTGTACTTAACTACAGCAGTTTTTCCTCTTGATAAAAATGCACAGCAGCAGCAGACGCAGTGGACCAATAATCTCTCCTTGAACCAGCAGCGGATACAGTAGTCGTGTACCATAATATGCGGTATCGGAGAAAAACCCGAAACTCTTCGTCTGTCCCATCTTCCGAGTGCATTCAGTGCACTTCATTCCTTCCAACTCTCTGAAATGGTGATGGGAATGCATATGCAGCACGTGGCATGAACATGTTGTGCTTTGGAAATTGGGGGTCTTGAAGGAAAGAGCAACATTGGTTTCTCCTTGTCCTGTGCATGTATACATGCAATATTGTACATTATATGAAGCCGGAAACGTACTGCGTTATACAGTACTTGGGCTACTTCAGTACAATATAGTGGTCCATATCGGGCCTGTGTCCGTTATTGTGCCGGCAGAAAATCATTTTCGAACGGGTTCAAAGGCTAAATGAGTGTTCGGAGTTCTTGACGGCGGTTTCAACTCGGAACACCCAAGAACTCTACATGCAGTTGCAATAGTCGCCGCATTCATGAGTAGAAATACTGTATGTACAGTACCTCTTAAACGGGGATTCCTTCATTTTCGAGAAAGAAGAAAAAAAAGAGAACACCAAGTGCGACATGCTCTTGTTCAAAGGTTTATTGGGTTTGAAGCACCGCCGTCTTTTGACCTTCATGTAATGTAGAGTATTGTACAGTGCATAAGTAGAGAGTTCTGTAAACTGCAGTACAGTACAGGCTGGTATTTTTTTTTCTTTTTCTTTCTCTACCGTCTACCGCACATCTTCCTCCCCTCCTCCCCCCAGTTTTGGTGCAGTACCTCTGGAGCACTTCCGAGTGCTTGTTCACGAAACGGGCGGTCTTGAACGCGTCGTAATGATTTAAATGGCTGGACCGCGTCTAAGTTAGCATTTGGCGGAAATGACGTCGCGTGGTCATATTATTGAAAGGAGCCCATGAGTTACAGTACAGTACAGTATGGTTTTTGAGGGTCGGGGTCTTCACGGAAACCAAAAGCACAGTACAACACTTGGTGTACTGTATTAATTTTCGTCCGGGAAGAAACATTCCGCGTCTCTGTCGATGCAGACGAGATCAGATGTGTCTTCCTTATTGGGCAATGGGGGCGTCCGAGCGGTTTAGGCCTGTTTCGCTTCCCGACGTAAACCATATTATATTAGCCGTATTTATTATTGTGCTCTTTGTCTCTTTCTTCCTTCGATTCACGAATGAATTCCCGGACTGGGGAATGAGGCGTCTTGCTTGAGCAAGAGCGAGAGAGAGAGAGAGAGAGAGAGACGGTGGCGGATTATTCGAGCTGTGGGAGGTGCGTTCGGGGGTCTGACACCTGAGCGGCCACTTGCGCAGTGCCTCGGCGGCACATGAGCCACCACCATTGTTGGTTCCATCGTTTCGTGACTGATTGATTCTTCATACGCTGGTCCCACACGGGGAGGTAGACGCTTGCATCGTCGACGCAATAATGCATGGCAGGATCTGGTGTGCGCTGTATCGACGGCATTTTCCCAGTCCCGGATCAATCCATCACTTCCTCACTCACTCACTCGACAGAATGTAGTGCAATGCAGTACTAGACTATAGTACTGCACCAACCATGAGGGGACAGCATGTGTACGCCTCTTGGAAAGGGAACGAGAACGCGTCAAAAGCGAGGAACCTTCCCCTTCTTGGGTTTTATTGCCTCAATTCTCCCCTTGACCCTATGGCGAGGGTATCAGTTCGAGTCGTCGTCGTCGTTCGTGTTGTCGACGAACGATTCCAGGAGTTTCCCTCCCCGACTTGGGAATGCCCGAGTACAGTGCTCTCTGCTGTACAATGTAGATTTTGAACAAAAGGAACGGGTTCTCGCCTGTAGCCGTACTCGTGCTGACCATCATTCTCGTCAGCCGTGCGACTTGGTCTTGTTCAGTTGTTTTCTCGTTTAGCGGAAGAAAAAAAAAAGTCGTTCGGGGAACTGCCGGGGGGATATAGGCGGCTTATCTTCTTTCCAGACGGAAGTTCTGCTCTGGCTCGTGTGTATGTATGTATGTATGTATGAGTGACGTCGCTGGAAACACTTGCGAGAACAAGTAGTATTTCCAACTTTTCCATGACGGCATGTAAACCCAAGGGAGAGTGAGAGAGAGAGAGAGAGAGAGAGAGAGAGAGAAAAGTGTCCTGTCATCTTCGTTGCCATGACTTGTATACTGTACAGGTAGTATTGTGAGGCACGGGACAGATCGAGCTATGAAATCGTCGGGCAGCGGGGACTACCGTGGATGAAGAGAGCTAGAGAGAATGATGCAAGTATATATGTGTGTGTGTGTGTGTGTGCATATGCATATGTAAAAGGCAAATGAGGAGGCGACTGCCCGCAATGATTTCCGACCTCCGGAATCTCGAATACTGTACAGCGATGACTCGGCGGTGTATATGTATATTGTTGCGTTCATCACATCTCGTTCGATTGGGTTTACGCGTGTCGTTCGATACAGTGGAGTAGGTCGAGTACAGTTGGAGTCTTGAGCAAGCAAGCAAGAGTTGCATCATGTCGGACTCGAGATAAGGCCGAGAATACCGTCCCTTTCCCTCCTCCCTTCATATCTCGTCTCGTCGGTGGGCCGCGCATATTCACGGGGTCGTTGTTTTTATTTTCTCCTCTTTGTCTTCTTGCACAACCAACCAACCAACCAACCAAACTACCTCCTCCCACGCCGGTCACACGAGGATGGCGGGCGGCGTGTGTAAGAAAGGGCGACTCAACTCAATGTCCGACTCCTTTTCCTTGTCTTTGCGGCAAGTGAGAAAGGCACGGTGAATTTCTTTGGGTGCCGGGTGTATCTCGCTCACTGTACAAGCACACAGGCAGATGAAGGGAACGATTTCGGAAACACGGCGTGTGAGTGAAGAGCTCCCAATATCATCCTCATCATCATCATCATCATCATCATTGACGACGTTGGAATTCGGTACTGGAAAGAGATTTCCTCTTTCTCTGCTCCTCCTCCTCCTCCTCCTGGTCAATGGAACTGGAGGAGGAGAAGAAGGCGAAGGCAAGAAAAGGGCACTGAACCAGCCCAGTTGGGAACGCGT